TTTTTTTTTTTTTTTTTTTTTTTTTCATCGTTCGTACCCCAGCAATAACCATTACGAAACACAAAGTAAATATCGACTGACAAGAGCCAGTATCTCCTTACCTTCATTTTATTTGCTATTTTTACCTGCATTATATTCTTCCACGTCAGCATCTCTTATTTCCTGAAACAGTGAATCACTTTATATCGTTCGTGGTCTTCAGTTCTATTTTTCTAGAGGAACCATATATTAATGTATGCAGACCTACAGAGAATAGGAACTCATTCTTTTCTTTCCTTTTTTTTCTTTTCGTAAATAGTGACTACTCGTGCATTCGATGCATCCTACTACCCTCTGTCTTCGCCCAAGAAATGGTATGGGCACAGATACTCTCGCACACTTACACTCTTGCAGAGAGTCGTATGTATGAGTATAATCATTTATTTATTGATTTCTTTTTATTTTTCTCTTTTGTTTCTTTCTTTTTTTTTATTTTTCTCTTGTTGTTGTTTCCCTGCTAGCCCTTTCAATTGTGAACGACTTCAATAAGCGAAGGCTCGTAGTCGTCTGGTGCGATGAAGCCCATCAGATTGAGGAAGGTTGCTGTCACATTTGCAAGTCCTGCACGCGGGAGATCGGTGCGCATCTGCACTTTTGGGTCGAGGCCCGCCCCTCCAATGAATACAGGCACTGGGGCAAGTGTGTGGGAGGTGAGAGGGAGGACCTTTCCGTCGGGGCCAACGATCGGCTTTCCCTTCTTATCACGTTGTGCCATATCGTCAGAGTTACCGTGATCGGCCGTAATGAGGAAGACACCGTTCACACTGTCAACGGCATTCTTCAGACGCAACAGTGATGCATCCACTGCCTCAAGAGCGGTGATGGTCGCTGCGAGATCACCGGTATGGCCAACCATATCACCATTGGGGTAGTTAATGCGCACAACGTCATATTTGCCACTTTGAAGAGCCTCAATCGCCGCGTCAGTAATTTCTTTGCTCTTCATGAGTGGTTTCTCATTAAACTGCACACGGTCACTGGTGATCTCAAGGAAGGTCTCATGCTCCTCATCGAGTTTTCCACTGCGGTTGCCATTCCAGAAGTATGTCACATGTCCAAACTTCTGAGTTTCAGAGCAGGCAAAAATGTTGCAGCCGGAACCAATAAGATATTCTTCACTCGTGCGTGAAAGCTTTGGTGGTGGCACCAGAAAATTGTTGGGAATACCAAGATCACCATCATAGCGCATCATACCTGCGTAACGCACCTTAGGGACACGTACACGATCAAATTTGTCAAAGTCTTCCTCTTCAAATGCACGTGACATCTCAATAACACGATCACCACGGAAGTTAAAGCAAAGAACAGCATCACCATCCTCAATAGTGCCAATAGGTTTACCACTTTCATCGGCAATAACGAATGGAGGATAGTATTGATCCGAAACATTTGGGTCTTCCTCACGGAAAGTCGTGATAGCTTCTTTTGCAGAACTGAAGTGTCGTCCCTCACCCAAGACCTGTGCTTTCCATCCACGTTCGACAATAGACCAATCGGCTTCATACCGGTCCATGGTGACAAACATACGGCCACCACCACTTGCAATACGGGCATCACATCCCTTTTCACGGGCTTTGGCAAGAACAGCTTCAGCTTCGTCTGTAAACTTGAAAGAGCTCTTGTCAGGTACATCACGACCATCATAGAGGACATGGAGACGAATACGATTTGCTCCATGTGTACTGGCGTAGTTGATGATTTCATAAAGCTGATTATCACGTGAGTGTACGCCGCCATCACTCAAAAGTCCGATGAGGTGCAGTGTACGGTTTGGCTGCGAGAAGGCACCATGAAGGTAGCGGTATCCATCACTGGTAAATATCTCTCCGCTCTTAATAGCGTCATCTACGAGAGAGGCGCCCTGCAGTGCAACACGGCCTGCGCCGAGTGCGTTGTGTCCGACTTCGCTATTTCCCATATCTGCGTCTGTTGGGAGTCCGACAGCTGTGCCGTGTGCGCAGACGGAGCGGAAGTGGGTGGCATTGCTGCGCAGTTCATCAATGAAAGGCGTTTTTGCAACGTGAACGGCGTCATATTCGTCACCGGGGCCAATACCAACACCATCAAGAATGACAAGCAGCAGTTTCCGGCGTGGAAGAACTGGATGCTGGTGAAGAGAAAGTTTCATCATCTTAAGTGTGTGTGAGAGAGCGAGAGAGTGACGGGCACAGACACGCACACGAAAACACAAGGTGAGATGGTAGATATTCGAATAATAACAGTATATCCTGAAATACATAAAAAGAAAAGAAAAAGAGAAAGAAGAATGAGAAAGAGAAAGCGGTAGTGGAAACAGCAGAAGTAAAAGAAAGAAAGAGAAAGGTAATGATGAGGTAAATGAATGGAAAAAATTTGACCAGGGATCTCAACAGGGAACTCCACACTTTCGTTCCAACCCAACATAAGAACAAATTCTTCTTTTTTTTCAACCCCACACCACTACCCCTCTCCCCTACCAAAAGAAAAAAAAAAAAAAAAAAAGAAAACATACACACACAAAAAAAGAGAAAACAAAGCAAATCTCTTTACTTATTTCCAATCAAGAATGTTAACTGTTTTCTTTTAATTTTCAGCTTGGGGAGATGTCTGTAGTTTCGCCATCACCATTTCTAGGGCGACTGTCTGATTTGACGCAATTGTGGCGTTCATATCCGCTAGGTCATTCTTAAATATTTCGTCTTCCATTACCCACGTTGATGGGAGTATTGTTGGAATAGAATCATTATCAATGAATCCATCCTGATAACACTTTTCAAAATACTCCATCCACTCTGGTGAGACGCCTGTAAAACCGATACATACCAAGTATCTCTCACTATTTACAACGCGACTGTGGCGTGGTTTCACTACATGTACACGTTTATAAAGGTAGGTAGAAAGGAAAAGCATACTCCGCAGCAACGGTGAAAATGTATCAAATAGTTTGAGAATAAAACATCCACCATTACGCAATAACTTTAGTGCGGCTAACCATTGTCCGAAGAGAATTCTACCAGAGATAGTCTCTTGGTAATTAGCAATATCAAATGGGACGTTAAAACCCCCATCAGCTACAACTAATTTTATATGCTCTGTAAGAGTTAATGAACATAATGCTTCAATGTTTGCCAATTTAAATATATCCCCAGTACCATCAATTCCATACGTTGGCAAAAAATCCCTAGATAAGAGATTGGAATACCAATCTAGTCCTTCCACTCCTCGAAGAGTCATACCAAAACCCCGAAGTTTCAATTTATATCCTTTGGACATTGCGAAGAGTGCCTGTGAAAAGGCACCAGGTCCACCACAGACATCTACAAATCCAATACGTTTCCCTTTTTTCTGTGAAAGCCACTCTTCTCGTAGGTGTTCCCACACACCACTCGCTTCCATCGTCTCATATAGTTTGTGTCCGGCGCGGTTCCCAAAGGCGGAGGCGCCCTGACGACCACTCACCGCTAAGGGGAATAGCGCATCACGGGCCGCCATGTATGCAGCGTTGTCAATACTATCTAAAGCCGTTTTCGTTTCCCACAGCTTCATACGTTCCGTCTGCTGGAATGTATCAAATGCGTTTCGCCAATGTGTAACTTCAAAAGAATTCCCCACGAGAGAACCGAGATCCGGTGACGGACGCGCAGGATCGTGGCGGAGCAGGAACTCCACTGTTTTGTCCGTTACTTCCGACATCTCGCACCACTAGAGGAAAAAAGCAAAGAAAAGGAAAAAACAAAAAAAAAACAAAAAATCCTTTCTCCTCCCTTACCCTCTCTGCACCCAAGAAAACTAAACAAATAAATAAGAAAAAGAAAGAGAACATAAAAAAGGAATAATTACAATTATCTTCTCAATCAGTTGTTTTTTTTTTTTTTTAAGAGAAAGATAAAAAAAAAGAAATTTTTTCCGAGCTTTCGTTTTCCACTTGTTGCACAGAAACTTATATAAGTGAAACAAAGGAGAGAATATGGTTCAGTGATAAAATGACGGATACAGCCCCTATGTGCTTTACCCACTCTCTCTCTCTCTATCTCTCTCTCACGCACACATACAGATATTAAAATAACGAAAGAGCATGAGTAAAGGAAGTGAGAAAAAAGCAAAAAAAACAAAAAAAAAAAGAAAGAAATACATACTAAATATGTAATCACTTTCTAAGATTCCCAAGTCCCTTACGTTAACTTGTTCGAATGTGCACGATTTCATAATATGCTGATAACCGTTTAAAAAAAAAAAAAAAAAACTGAAAGTTGGTGGTGATGATTGACTTATGAAAATAAAAAAGCCATGAATTTGTTGTCTCGAGTAATTCAGAGTTGGTCAATTTTCGGAATGGCATTACCTCTAAAAAGAAGAATAATTTTGTTGAACTTGTTTATTTCACATCAGTTCGCGTCCCCCACCATTTGACTACTATTATTTTTTCCTGTTTCTTCCTACAGTAGGCATATTTTTTTTTTTTTGTTTTTCTTTTTTGCATTCCTTCCCTTAGTGAAAGTTTGCAATTTTTTAAATATATATATATATATATATATATTTCAGGGACGTTCTCACCTGCTTTTTTTTTTTTTTTCTTACCCCATCTTCTCAGCAATAGCGTATATGCTTGTAGTGTACACTCCCTCACGGCTCCATTGCTGCGCCGCGGCTGTCAAAGTGTTCATCGGGGGCGAACTGCCCAACAACGGGGTACTTCGCCCTGTACTTGTCAACCCACTCCTCGAGAGCCTCCCGGTGCTCGTCTGCGAGATTGCACCACCCCGCGTTTGCCTCCTTGTCGTCGATGAGCATCTTCGCCAGACACCGGGTGACGTCCTTGCCGGCGAAGATGTGATAACACGCCCCGCAGCCGTAGAACTCGGCCGCCGCACTGCAGTCATAAACAACACCCATGACGGAGATGTAGATAGGCGCACCGCTCTCACCATTATACTTGCTAAGCTCCGCCGCATCAAATAGCCGTTTCATTATTCGTTTGTTTTCCTTTCTTTTCTTTTTTTTTTCTTCTTCTTGTCTTTTTTTCTTCGTTGTAATATTTGTTGTTGTTGTTGTTGTTGTTACAGTTGTTTTTGGCCCCGAGATCGTCAGGAGCAAACAATCAATTAGCACACAAAACACACTTTTTTTCTTTCTCTTTCACCCACACACGCACAGAAACAAAAACGCTGGGGGGAATATTAAACAAAAAAGAAGAACAAAAAAGAAAAAAAAAGATAGAAAAAAAAAAGCAAAAAGAAGACGAATATCACATCGGCAAAAGCAGAGTCACAGATAACAATAAAGAAGAATAACTACAAATAATAAGGAGGTTTTTTTTTTTTTTTTTTTTTTCCTTTTCCCCTCCCACTCATCAAGAGATCTCTGTAGCATCACTGAGAAACTCTCACTTCCTCGCACTCTCCCTCCTCCTTTCTTTACATTCACAACGTATAAGAGATCTAGGGATTTGCCAGCAAAATATCACGCAACTGTGCTCCGCACTCCAGAGCTTTAACCTCAAGTGTCTCTCGCATAACTGCAATGTTATTCTTAAGTTGCTGCAACTCCTCCTCCTTCCCCTTTTTCGTCTCTTCTATTTTTTGGCGCAGCACCGCATTTCCCTGTTCAGCGTCTGCCACTAATTGTTCAAGACTTTTGAGTCTCTGACGAAGTTGCTCATCATTCGTCGTCGACATATGTTGCATAATGCGAACATGCTCGTCTGTTTTTCGTTCCATTGCCTCCATTTGCTCTTGCAAATCCGCTAATTTTTTCTCCAAGACATGTTTCTCGTGATCCATGTAACGTATCTCGTCGCTGGCTAGCATCATAAGTTGTTCCACAGCCTGACACTGCCGTTTCAAGCTCTCTAACTGCTGCCTCTTTTCATCCAGCACCTGGGCGTCCGTTACTTTCTTCTTTGGTGGCATGAGTGCCTAATTCTGTAATACCAACGAGAAAAACAATTAAAGAACGAGGAGAGAGAGAGAGAGAGGAGAAAAGTGGAGGACGACAATACAGAATAATTGAGTGAAGAAAAAGAGGAATAAACACTTGAGCGACTAAAAAAAAAAAAATGAAAAAGAAAAAAAAAACACTTTTGAAAGAGTAGTTTCCACTTCATACTCATACTCAAACACATGGGAGAACACCCCCACTCCCCTTCTCTCCCTCCTCTTCACCACCACCACCACAAAAAAAAAAAAAAAACATTTTTTATTGTAAGGAGGTTCACATAATAAGTGGTACAACTGAATACTTATGAACATTTTTTTTTTTCCACTACCACTACCAATGTTTTTCTTTTCTTTTACTTATTCAATCATTTCTTCACTTTCAGAACTTTCTTTTTTTTCTAGATGTTTTTTTTTTTTTTATTCATTTGCCCGTATTTGGGAGAAAAAGAACTCATAGGAGGGAAGGAAGGACGAGAAGGAATGGGAGTAATATAAAGAGATTTACTCTTTTCTTCTCCCCTCCTTTTTTTCTTTCCTCTCTCCTCTTCCTTTTGTCATTATCTCAATTTCTTCCGCGTCATTTCTATCGGTTTCTCATGATTTCCTTAAAATCGTAGATGATATCCTCGTGCCGCAGTGTGTACTTAAGATTTGCTGAGACACTATAGCGAATGGGCGGGATGCTGCGATGAGGTGCGTGTGCGTCAATGACGACCGGCGCGTCGTCGCCTTCTGGCGGTTCTGTTGGTTCGTACGCGTCGCTGCCAAAACAGTAACGGTGTGCAAAAGCCACAAACATCATCTCAATACAAATAAGAAGATCCTGCAATCCCTGCGGCACACGGTCCTCTGTCCAGTACTGAAAGTTGGGTAGCAGGTGCGTGGCGGAGAGCAGTTGGATGAGAATACCTTGCCAGAAGGAAAGGAATATCACCATCTTGATGCAAAGAAATTTCATTAAGGCGTCTGTGCCCTCCATGAACTCTTTTAGTCCAGTATAGAAGTAAACTAAGGCTGTAAAGGCTATCGTGATAGATGTGTTACATACTAAAGTTGTCCAAAAATATCCTTTGCGTACATCCAATATACTACCCATTTCATTTTTCGCTGTCAGAATTATCACTATTACCGTTATAAGTGGTTTCAAAACCATAAACTGAAAGAGACACAATCTACAATTCCTCACAAAGGTGGGTGTCACCTTCACAGGTTCTAACCAACATAACGGAAAGAAATGAGGTATTGGGGGACGTTCTTCCAACATAAGGGCCCGGTATACGGTATCGACACCTCCCATAAGTGCAATCATAAGCTGAAAAAAGGCGTAAAGAGCATAACTCTCGTATGCATCACGAATCAAGTTAAGGTATTCTGCTGCATTAGGAGCAAGGATGCATATCCACGATATCATAGCATATAAGGGCACCATAAAAAGAATACGTACCACTTTAGTTTGACACTCCGGATCGGAAAAACAAGTGAGATGCTCCAAAATCTGAAAGAGAGATAATATAGTAGCAAAAATAGCACAATATCCCCCAATAAAAGAAGGAACCACCTTCTGATCACGTAGAACATTTTTTAGAAGCAACACTATCAATAGCAAAAAACCAAGAACGCAGGAAAATGTTCCTACCCAGTAGTACATTTTCCTTCGCTCATGGCGTGGAAGCTGGATGATACCACCCAGTGGCATTTTCTTAACTGTTATAACACAAACGCAAAAGAATACAAGTGCAAGAAGAATAACAATAACAACAACAACAACAACAACAA